GATAGAAGCGGCCTAGCAGCGAGGGGAGTGTGCGTGTGTGCTCGCCCCGAGGCTGCTTCTACTGGCCGATCGAAGTGGCTGGTGACTGCACTTGGGGAGCTTCCATTGCCCGAAAGAGACTGCCTGATGGCGAGGAGACATGGTCAGCCATGCCTCACCCCGAAGCGGCTGGGGACTCTGCCTTCGGGGAGCTTTCATCAGCCGATAGAAGCGACCTCGCAGCGAGGGAAATGCGTATGGGCCACTCTAGGTGGAGAAGGAAATTAAGTCACCCCCCCAAGACGGCCTAGCTGTTTTTTCGTGGGTTAAAAAAAAAAAAAGGCCTGGCCTTATTTTGTGAGAAACATGGTATTATCCTTTGGACTAAACTGTTTCTTCCTGACATAACTGTTTATATTTTTGCCAATTCTGGTGTTGAAATTGTCAGCCATAGGATATTTGCATTTGGTAATGTTTATTCGGCTCTCTTTAAAAAAGGATCTGCAGGAAGAACCAAACCTTGAATCACAGACCTGGGCTCCATCTTGTTGGAAGATAAAACATTAATGTTAAGAATTAACCCAAAATATGTGCTATCTATTTGAACTGCCTGGGTGTGATCACTGTCTTGACAGGCAGGGGATGTTATATGAGTGATATTCTGGCAAAAAATGAGAAATATCCAGGCACCATGTCTCCTAATCTGAAGAAAGGTATTCAGAAGGCCAAGACTGATTATGAAGATTGAGGATAATTTTTATAGCAATAACATGAGGCAGGTGTGGCGAGGGATTCAACAAATTACAAACCATCAACCGACCAATGTCATCCCTGCTGAGTGGGATGCTTCATTGGCAGAGGAACTGAATCATATCTTTGCTCGCTTTGAAGTGGAGACATCAGAGACAGATAAAACACAACTAGCAGCTAATTGTAGCCCCCACCTCATTGTGGAGGAACAGGAGGTGAGGAGCATTCTGAGGGCTGTGGACCTGAGAAAGGCTGCCGGTCCTGACAGTATCTCTGGCTGAGTACTTAAAGACTGTGCTGATCAGTTGGCTGAAGACTTTTGAATTCTGCTGTATAGTGCAGTGTTGGTGCGGTGTCGCAGATTTTCGGTTCAATGTGTGGAGGGTGAAGGATGTGTGTTCGTGTTTATTTCATGGTCATGGTCATGATGTGCACTGAAGACGGTGTTTGATTTTGTTGTACGAGGTGCAATGACAACTAAACTAAACTATATAAAATGTTAAATTCTGACAGGTTTTGCTCAAAATAGATATTCACCAATTTACTGTGCCACCTAGCAAAATTCCAAGTAATGGCTTATATGGAGTCCTTTGGTGGCATTCAAAGCATTATGTTCTTGTCTTGGTGCAAGAAGACATACTGATAATGTTGTGGTGATGTTCTCACCAGCTTTGGATATTTTAGATTATGAATTAGTTAGCTGTTCTTGCACATGGTGAGATGAAGATCTTGGTTACAATACTTTGTATTGTTTCATAAATTCTAACTGATTAGAAACAAAATCAAAAAATTGTTCTAGGTCAAATTGATCAGTACTTGCAGTAAAACTCTCTGATTTTTCTGTGTCTCAGTTTAGGAGGTTTATTGACAGGATTCAAGCTGTCAGCAGATGAAATAATATTGTAATTGTCCTTGAGCAATATTAAGATGTTTTTTTACTCACAGCCCAGATGTATCCTTACAGAAAAGTCTTACTGAATTTATTGGTATTACTTTCATGTACATTTGAATAAGATGAAATTAAAAAAATATTTTGAAAATTCTCCCACCGGAAATATATTTGAGATTTTTTGCATTTAGCAGTTTCATAGCTTAACGAATACTAGCAGATATGAAGTCCAACTTGCTGTAGAGTTTTAGAGCTTCTATCCACATACTAAATGAATTTACGAATAGGCCTTACTTTCACAGAAACAGTCATAATTTTTCTTCTCACCAATTTCTCCTTGTATTAGAACTAACCCTGTTTAAACCAGATTAAACATATTTGTGTAATTGCACTCAAAACAGGGCTAAGATACAAAAATAGCTTCTAAAATGTTTAATTAAGTTAATTTTAGCCAAATTAAATTTAACAGAAGCACAAAGTTAACAGAACATTAAAAGTCTCAAACCATGTTATGAATTTTCATTGGCAAAGGAGACAACTTTAGGAAAGCAGGAAACCTGTGGATCATGGATTACCAATCTGTTGTTTAAAGTTAATAATTCAACTTAATAATGCTTTCCAACAATAAACCCCAAATAGACATGGATAATTCAAAGTAAATTCCTAGTTTGCCTTTAGCACATATGTAGCATGGATGGAGCCAGGATACTTGTGTGTCTGTTTTTCTAGTCATTTCTGTTTACTCAATCCAAATTGGCAAAGTTGGCATGCTTGAGGTCCCTTCCATTAAGTTAGGCCTAAAGGTTGTGTTTTCTGTTGTAGCAAATACCCTATGGAACATGGTCCTGTAATGATCTGGATGACACTGACTCCTCTGGCTTTTTGCAGAACATTAAAGATCTGGATGTACCTTCAGACACCAAGTTGAGAAGGTTAAATTTGTCCTGTTAGTGAATTTGTTGATTGATCTGTACTGTTCGGTACTGGATTTTAGACCCTGGGATGTATTATGCATTACTGTTTTCTATTCTTGTATGTTTTATTGGTTTTAATCCTCTATGCCATCCAGAGCCACTGTTTTGAGATTGGTAGCTACATAAATTGTCTAAATACAGAGGTAATCCTACTCCCCCGTCTCCAGAAAAGCCAACGAACCTTAACTGAAAAATATTGGGATATGAGGTTAAATTGTTATTTTGTCTGAAATATATAAGATATGTTCAACCAAAATAAGCCACATAATGCTAGTAGCTTAGTATGTCTGTGGATATTTCATCCGACTTCTGATGTTGTCCCTTTAATTAAGCTGAAACAAATACAAACCCAAATACACAAACTAAACGGAAAGCTGGAATCATCTTTATTCATTATAACGATTTCATATTTCCAGAAAAAGTGATGGATTGCTACAACTATACTTTTCACTTTGGAATAACACTACAAATATGACCTGGAAAAAAGTCCTAGTTAAAAGCCCTTGTCTGGGGAGGGGGACATAGTAGCATTGGTAGCAATTGACCTTATTGATCAATGAGAATTTTATGTCTAGCCATGCCAATCATGATTATTTATGAAAGACTTTAAAAATTTTTAAATTGTTACGGCATAGCTCCAAAAGTTGTTTCTTTTGTTGCAAACAGAAAACATACCACCGATTAGTTCTCATTTACAACCCACTTCTGTTTTCCCATGATTTCTTTTGCCCTTTCTTACCACTCAAAGGGGAAAAAAACCTCGAAGAACAGCTGAAATATACCTTTTAATAGTAGCCTAAGAACTCTCTCTCTCTCTCTCTCTGAAGGCCAATTACGGTAAGGTTCTTTTTTTTCCCCCAGTCTCCCATAATTTTAAAAGTTCTGGACGTTTTTCAAAGCCCATTTGGAATTTACACATCTAACTATATTTGGTTTCAAGTAGTTTACAAGTACGTACCCTAATCCTTGCCCCAGTAAGGCTGGTTTGGGTCCAAAAGGACTGTACTATTTGTTTTCTTACTGGCAAATACATTTTAAGAAAATCTATTCCTGGTTATTTAAAGGACAGTGCCAAATCCTGATATTTTTAAAATGCTAACCTAATTATCTATAGCTCTGAGTGACTTCAGGTCTTGAAATATCATATAAACATATAAATAGAAAAATATGACCTACTACTTTATATACAACTCCTCTTCTTACCTAATTAAAAACAATATTTTCCCAGAAACACTTTTATACCTTGGAATTAAGTCAATGTATACTCCAAAGAAAGCCTGTTATTTGGGGCTTTAAAAAGCTAACGCATACTACAAACCTTAAATAGCTAATTACAGATCTGGGCAGCAGAGAGATTCAATTATATTTGGATTAAAAAGGAAACAACATCCTAGGGTAAGTGAAGGAATTTGAAAGAAGTTAATGCATCTCATTGTAACACAGCCACAAATAGATCATAAAGATATTTCTGATGAAAATATTTGCTCATGAATACAACCACAGTGCAATATAATGTTTTGCTGTAATTGATAATGGACAGATTTCCACTTTTTGCTTTACTGTATCTGTGGCTCTCATCTTAATGTACATGTCACTGAAAGATGTGCATTAAGTAATTGCCTTAATTCATTTTCTCAGCTTTTCTTTAACACAATGGTTTTTTTTTTATTTTAAGTTATTTAGATAAATTTGCATAACATTCCTTAACATTAACAGAATTTGTCCACATTGATTTCTACCAGTATAGAACCAGCAATTTTTTGAACTTATGTTTTTTAGACTGGAACATAACTTTTCAAGAGTTTTGATTCCTAGAGTGTAATCTCCTCAGTTTGAAGGTCTATTGGACTCCTATAACAATGAATCTGAAAAGGAATTCAAGGCTAGGGAAAATGGCTCTAGTAAATAAAAGGAGACAACTACAAGCAGATATAGACCAGATCTGTTTTCTGTGGGGCAGACTAAAGCCTGTTGTAACAGCTGATGTCTGATGTGGCTTTTTAAGAATTACAACAACCAAAACACTTAATATGTTATAATGAATATGGCTCTGTTTTTTAAAGAAGTAACCATGCAAATCTATTCTTTTTGTTAATGCCTAGTTGGTTTAAGGAAAGGGAGGATTTCCCAGTCTGGTAGATAACATATTGATATACTGAGGGATGAAATAAAGCAAAACGTAGAAAAAATAAACAAAATGAGGCAATTGTTACAACTTTATTTAATCAATTCATGCATTGAAAGCTGGTAAGATGATGAAACTGATTCAACTATCAATGCTATGTACTTATTCTAAGAAGAAACCAATATGTCCATAGAGATTACATTTAAGAATATAATAATATAACAATATAGTAGTTTGAAAACGAAGTGTTGAAAATTTTGAAAACAAAAATTACATTTAAAACTGTTGATTTTAGCTGTGCTGAATGGAGAAAGCAATATACCAGAGAACAGACTATGCAGATTGGTCTATAAAACTGATTTTTGAACATTTCATTGCATTCTCAACTATTTCATTTAACATTTTACAGTTTTTACGAGTGCCATATCTAAAGGATACAAATTGCTCTTAAAACTGTTTACTTGAAAACAAGTTCTAAAAAATATCAGGATTAGCTTTTGGGTGCAGAGCAGATTTAAATAAGAGAAGCAATAAAAGGGGAGAAAAGGCTTTCTGATTTTTAAAATAACAGAAATAAGAGTAGAGGTTATGGGCTTTATAGTAGCCAAAAATTAAACTATAATAGTTGAAACATCATACCATATTTCCTACATGCTTATGATAAAGTCTGAATCAATGGTAATAATATTACTATGGTATCACTTTTGGTTATTTCTTCTTCTGTAGTTCTTCTATATAATTGACTGGAATTATGCCTATACATTCTTCAGTCTGCTTTATACGATGTCTTAAAACACTAGATCTGATTATATCAATGTCCCGTTTTAAATGGTCCACGAGATTTGTAATAATCGTTGGAGCAGAATCAAAGTCTACCAAAAAATACCTGGAGATAAGGGGAAAAAAAACAGTTAAAAAGGTTTTATGTTAAAAGACATAATATATGCTGTATCTTGTGAGATTGATGAGAGTCTAAAGTGAAGGTGGTCTTGACCCCTCCCTTGATCTCAGCCTGAACATTTCTACAAAAGGTTTAACTAAATTTAAGCAAGAATGGCATCCATATATATTACACAGCAAGGTAAGTATAAAACTAGAGTATGGTTTCTAAAATTTGCTCCAATAGTGGTGTCAAATGGTGTGAGAACCCATAAAGGGGCAAGTCAGAATTTAAATATTTACCTATATTATTTTCCTTTTTAGTTTATTATTATTAATGATATCCCCCCTCGAAAGAACAGTGCTTCATCTTGGTTGAGGGGCTTGTGTCTTCTACCAATGCTAAGGGCAACTATGACTTGGATAACTAAGAATCTACGCAGACATTCAATATGATGGTAATACATAATTTGAATTCCATGCCAGATTTATTGTCACCCAGATTAGCAAGTGTTGTGTTGGATCGATCTGGCTTCTGGGCATTCACTGAAAAAAGCGTTACAGGCTCATCTCCCTTTGCAAGACAACCCGGGCATTAAGCTGACAGGCTATGGGAAGGCAATATAAAATTTGTTCAAAGGAAAACTAATTATGGAATGTTTCTACCAATCAGAACCATCAAAACATGGATTTCAAAAGTGAAAGTATCAGGGTTTTTTGGAGGGGAGGGAAAGCATCTGGATTTAGGATTAATGAGCAGATTTATGGACTAAATTAGGTAATTTTAAAACACAAGTTCTTTGCCAATGCTGAATTGGAAGCAAATGAAAAACAAGCAACTTAAAATTTAGGTTAATTCCAAAATACCAGTAATAATACCAATTCGCTGAGTGAGTAATGAACAATAAAAGATGAAGAGTCTATTTTAAATTAACGAAGAAAAAAAAGATTAGCCAGGTGTGGTGGCGCGAGCCTGTAATCCAGCTACTCTGCAGGCCAAGGCAGGCGGATCGCTTAAGCTCAGGAGTTCTGGGTTGCAGTGGGCTATGCCGATCAGGTGTCCACACTAAGTTTGGCATCAATATGGTGATCCCCGGGGAGCCGAGGGCCACCAGGTTGCCTAAGGAAGGGTGAACCGGCCCAGGTCAGAGATGGAACAGGTCCAAAAAAAAAAAAAAAAAAGACTGAAGTTACCAAAGGGTTGAAAGCACTATTGTTTAATCAAAATCTAGCTGGGAAAATCAAGGAATGAATGAAAAAACTGAAAGAATACTCTTGTCAAAATTGAAACACATTACATGAAAACTTTGGCTAAAATGGGGAAGAATATTAATAAAATTGTTAAAATGATTCCAATTGCAACACTGGCGCAAGCAAACTCAACAGATATATGCTGCAGCCAAAGAAAATTATGGACTGTGCTGAAATGAGTAAATTGACATTTGAAATTAGAGAACAAGAAGACAAACAATTTTATATGATATGGGATTTATTTTATCAATGGTTGGACAAAAAGACATGGTAATGTAACAGACTAGATAATTCTGTGATAGAAATTTAATAGATTGATATAAAACATAATATAGACATATATAACCATTAGTTGAAAGTATAGCATAAATTTTAAGATAAAACTTGGAAAATCTCGTATAAAATGATGGAATAAATAGTTTAGTCATGGATGATTAATAACTGATAAATATACAAGCATGTTAGTTTGACAATGTGAAAATTGATATAAACTGTGAGTAAATGACTACAAAAGGATAGCACAAAAGATTTTTAACCAACTGACACACTGTATGTATATAAAATGGAAGATGGTTTTATGTTTTTATGTTTTGTATGTGTGTTTGTTTGTAAAAAATAAAAATTCTTTAAAGATATATTCTGCAGCCTGCCTAACCAGTTGTTAAGTTCTTTAAATAAATATTTTTAATGTTGGGAGAAGGGAGTTGGCACTCTTCTATAAAGAAGAGATATGAGAAATAAAAATATTTTTATGACTTTATTATAAAATGCAATAAGCTGGAAAGTGGAAAGATAACTTTAAAAAAAAACCAGCTTTATTACTTAGCCTTTATTGTTCACCTGAAAAGGTTCAGAAACTATACACAAGGTACCATATGTCTGCATTCTATGAATCTTGGTGAAGTATTTGGTTTGACTATCCATTTGACAGAAAGTTTCCCAATAAATCACGTGTCCATTAAGCTAATACAAAACATCTCCAAGATTGGTCACATTTCTCTCACTTCCTTTTTTCCTTTTTTTCTCCCTAATCAACTTGCTTGCTGAAGAGTTTCCAAAACTCACAAATACATGCTATTCAACCAAAAGTTATTCTTATCCTGAGAAAGATGGAAGAGCAGGCTGTTTAGAAAAATTGTCATCCTTTCTTTTTTAAACTGTACCCAATTAAATTGATACAGATATAAAAAGAGCCATAATAGTGCTGAATCTTGAACAGATAGTTTTGTATATTTCCCCATGAGGCCTGGGGAGATGTTTTCTTTTTTTAAAAAGATACAAAAATGAAATGTGAAACTTACAAATCTGTATGTTAATGTGAGTACTTTCTATTATCTCTAACCCATTCTATTGCTATTCTATTCTATTGCTATCCTCACTCTAGAATTTCTTCTGTTTTTTTTCCGTCTGTTTACAGCCAATCTGCACATTTACACAATGTGTTTTACTTTACTTGTTTTTCATCGTCCACTCTTTTTGCAGCAAAAATGCATTGCTTTATTGGGCTGCTTTTCTCTATTTGCTGGTAGCTGCAGACATTTCAAAACACGGGTCTCTTCCAGTCTCTTCCCCCACACACCTGTTTCAAGGTTGCAGCTTTATTGAACTATCTGCCAGGCTGGGGGGTGGGGTGGTGGGGATTCAAATGGGAAGGGAAGAAACCAGCAAAGATGCCTGCAATTTTTCTAAGCAGTCTGGTCTTCCATAAATATAAACTGTATTTTTCCTTAAAGTCTGCCTAAAAAGAGAAAATGATCTATTTTATATCTTATTTCCCCTTTACCTGAAATTCTGTACTTTGAACTTCCAAAGACAAGTTGCCCCCAATTAAGCAGCTTGTCTTTCATTCAGCACTTCAACCTACTAACCAGACTGGAGATTTCTGTGCCCTTGGAAATATTAGAGATTTATTTTTCATATGCTGCAAGTGCTGCCTAAAATCATCAACTTAAACTTTTCTCCTCTACTTTGATCAACATAAAAAAGATAATTTTAAGTTCTGATATTTTATTCATGAGCCTACAAGAATAAAATATATTAGTTTAATGAGATCAAGAAAGATCTTCAAAATACTATTGTCACTTAGATATTAATAATTCAGCACCTGCTTTCATTGGAAATAAACAGTTTTGAGAATAGACTATGGTGCTGAGAACCAGTGTTTGATTATATAATTCTTCTAATAGTTTACACCCACCCACCTGCATAAAAGAGGAATAGAAGAAAATAAGGAGATTTGGCAGATGTGGGCATACATAATCATTATTGAGCCATCTATTTTCAAATGATGTTTCTTTAAATTAAATGGACACAAATATTTGGTTAAAGCATGCTTATAAACACTATAGTATTTAATCGTTCCAAAAAGGAGGCTGCTGTTCTTCACCATAACCTGGAATTGATTCAGTGGGAAAGGTTCAGCCCTTACAAACAATCTCAAAACTGAACTAATGCTTCATTTTTAAAAAATGCTGTTTCAAAATATTTGACCAAAATGGAAGGAAGTGAAAACAAACCTCAATTACTTTGTTTAAATTCACACCAGTATTTTATAGGAGTGTTTTCTTTTAAGAAATTTATGGATTAATCTTTAAAACTGCTTGAATCAAGCCATTACAGAAGGATGTGAAGAGGATGTGAAAATGAAGATAGAAGAGAATTCAATTTTATATGATTGAATATAGAGAAGAAGCTCAACTATCATATCCAAATTAATATATTTCTTTTCAAGTTCATCCTATGGTGTTTTTTCATTCTAACTATTTTTACTAAAACCTCAAGATTCACCAATTAAAATTCAATGTACGCTAAACAATTTACATTTTTCTCTATTTATCTTACAAATCTCATGCTTTCTCTTGGATAGGAACTTCCAGGGAATTCATGAATATAGACTAGACTGGAAAGTAAAAAAATTCTTAAAAAGCAACAGCAAAACCAATTACATATTATTGCAAATGGCATGGCTGTATCCATGAAGTTACCAGGAGTTGAGCTTGACGTTACTCCCATTTAAAGACTGGGGGTAGAAAATCCTTGCCAGCTGTTTACAAGTTTTTCAGATATATACCAACAAATCTATCTCAATGTATAAATTCTAAGACAGTACAGTGGAACCTCTGGTCATGACCGTAATCCGTTCCAGGACTTTGGGCGCAACCCGATTTGGTCACGACCGGAAGCAAGACTGATTGTGCATGCACGCACACAAAAAATTGGGTGGAAGAGGAAATCGCCACAGCAGGGAAAATCACTGCAGCTGTGTTTGATTGCCACCCAAGGATGTGTTCGCAACCAGAGTGAAACATTTAGTGATTTTTTTGGTCGGCACCCAATTTGGTCATGGTCAGAAGAGTTCGTGACCTGAGGTTCTATCGTAATTCTTTAGAATGAGCTTCTACAGAGCTTTCAAAAGTTTCTTAGACTCCTTATATGGTAATATAGAAAACAGAAACTTATTCAGTATTTACAAGCTATCTTGAGTTCTAGAAATCTTGAAAAATCACTGCAACTCCTTTATTCCATCTTTAGAATATTCCTCATTAGTTGATATACAAAAGAAGATAGCAATACCACTTAGACTTATATACCGCTTTATAGTGCTTTTCAGCCCTCTCAAAGCGGTTTACAGAGTCAGTATATTGCCCCCAACAATTTGGGTCCTCATTTTACGCACTTCGGAAGGATGGAAGGCTAAGTCAGCCTTGAGCCTGGTGGGATTCGATCCGCCAAACTGCAGTAGGACTATAGATATAGGGTATTTGTAGAGAGACCTATATATGTCATTATATAATATATAAAGGAGGTTGCAAAGTAGCCATGACTTGGCTCCATGTACTGCTTATGTGCCTGGCAAAAATGGCACCCAACAGATTATTTCTGTAAAAATAAACCTTAACAGAAAGATGTTACCCTAATTCCACCCTAATCAAAGTTTTTTCTCTTTCTTTCCATTTTTCACCATCTCCTCTGATTAAGACTCATAAGTTTTGAAAACTTGACCCAGGTTTGGAGTTTAGACTTCCCTTTTTAAAAATGTTTCAATATACAAAATTTGCATTTTTGACAATGCCAACTCAAAAAAAAAGAGATCTCCCTACCATTAGCCATGCACAGTTTTTCCAGCAAAAATAGGCTACTCCAAAAAGGGATAGTTTAATGTAGCCTTTCCCAACTGGTACCTTGCCATGAAATTAAATACATATTAAATACATTTAAATTAAATACAATACAAGGCAATATTTGTACTCTATATTTCCCTTCAAAATATCAGCTACAAAGACTTTCTTCCAAATTAAAATTATTTCTTCCAAATTAAAAGAGAGGCAGATATCTAATTTTACACATATCAAAATTAAAATGTATATATTTAAATTAAAATGTCAAGGTTATAATGTCGACATTGTTATTATTAATTTATATCAATATTAATTTTATGGAATTCAAATATATACTAACAAGCTATATTGCCACAAGAGACTTTTAAAAAATCAATCAGCAATCAACAAGCACCTGGATCCAACTTTTCTCACAACTCTAATGGGAAAATAGTTCTCAGATGATTTGGTGTGACAGAGTGCCCATGGGACAGTCTGTTTAGAACAGGGCCAGAAAAACTACGTTTTATGAACACTCAGCTTCAGCTTTCTAAGAATATATCATCATTATTTTTAGGCTCTACTGTTGAAAACTTATGATATAGCTGATTATGAGATTTGGAAGGTGACTAGAAAAGTGCCTTGTCTACTACCTCTCAGGGCTCAAACTGGGTTTCTCAGAGGTGTTCAGCATGTAAACACATATGGAAAAGATCAACTTACCAGTTTTAACATCTGAAACATGGTGAACCTTCACATATATAGGTCAACAGTATTCCCTAGGCCAGGGGTCTACAATCTTAAACACTCAAAGAACCATTTGGACCCGTTTCCCACAGAAAACACTGGGAGCCACAAAATCTGGGTTGGTGTGGCCAACTCAACATTACTCACTCCCATCCAGTCACATGACAACCCCTCCCCCCGCCACACCTACCCAGGTTTTGTGGCTCCCAGTATTTTCTTTTCTCTGGGAAACTGGTATCTCTCTCTGTGTGTGTGTGTCTCTCTCTCTATCTCTCTCTATCTCTCTCATCTCTCTCCTCCATTTTTCTCTCTCTCTCTTTCTTCCTCTTCCTCCTCTCTTTCTCTCAACTCTCTTTCTCCCTCTCTCTCTCTCTCTCTCACATCTCTCTCTCTCTTTCTCGTGTGTGTGTGTGTGTGTGTTCCCTCTTGAGCCATTTCCAAAAACAGTCGAGGGTTGAGAGGTTTTTTTATTTTTTGTTTTGCTGATGTTGTTCTTTCTTCTTTGGGTTCTTTTTAACCATACGATTTCAATCAAGAGTCATTTCAGGTTCCCAGATAAATGAAGCTCTTTTGTCCCCCTGCTGTGGCTCCCTGTCAGATGAGCCCATCACTGGCTGGCCCCGCCTCTCGCCCTCCCCTCCCACTAACTCCTTGTCTGTCCTGAGAAGAGAAGGGCGATGGCGGCAGATGGAGATTTGCTCCACATTCCAGACTGGGAGCAAAGTGCCGCTCTACTTGCCTCTTGTTCCTGTACTTGTTGGTGCTATGCGCATCTTGCGCTAAATTTAAGTGTGCTGCATGAGACACTGCAAGAGCAGTAAATGGCTATGGAGGCGGCAAGAGGAATATGGGGAAATGTGCAACTTTCTGTCTGCCCTGAGACACTGGCTGGGCCAGTTGCAGCTGACGCCGCTGCTCCCACCACCTCCATGGCTGCTCGCTGCTCTTGAAGCGCCTCGCACAGCACACTTAACCGTAGCATGCTTCACAGTGGGGGGGAGACTGCGTCCCCTCCACCTCCTCCTGGAGCCCATTACAATTCAGAGCATTGGCTGCAGCCGGCCTGACCTCGTGGCAGAAAGTCATGTGTCTCCCGCAGCGGCCAAGGTGGGCACAGCATCAACAAGGGACGGAAAAAGAGGCAAGTAGAGGGGTGCTTTGCTCCCGCTCTGGAATACAGAGCAAATCTCCATCCGCCGCCACCCTTCTCTTCTTAGGGCAGGCGAGGAGTGAGTAGGAGGGGATGATAAGGGGTGGGGCCAACCAGTAGTGGGATCATCTGACAGGGAGCCACAGGAGAGAACCAAAGAGCTGCACCCCCGCCCTAGGCATATTACAGAAGAACAAATGGAATGCAGCTCTCCATTTCAGTTCCATATTCCCGTTCAATAAGCCAGCAGGTACAGATTAGAACAAGAGGTTCCTAGGCTGGTACAACAAAGGAAAAACATATGCATGTCGATTCAATTCCACTGAGTTAGGAGGAATTTATTCCCATGCATGTGTGGCCTTTGCAGCCTTTTTATATCCACTGCAGTTTAAATATTTACATGCTTTGTAAAATATTGTAAACCCCTATTCTACTTTTAGTATCCAGTTCTAGCATTCAGCTGAGCAAAAACTCATTTATATAAAATGACATCCAGAAGAAAAATACCTAGTACAGTGCCAAACAACACAATGTTAATGGTTTAATATGCTGGGGAACCTCGCATATCCTACACAATAATGAGCTGCAATTGAAATTCATATGAATTTAAGAAAGATTGTGTCAGATCTGAAAGACCATTATCTATTACAATTTTCTTTCCCCCTGTACCCCCTGCACCCCACACATGAATCAGTCTGATCCAGTTAGCAATAGCAATAGCACTTAGACTTATATACTGCTTCACAGTGCTTTACAAACCTCTCTACACAGTTTACAGAGTCAACATGTTGCCCCCAACAATCTGGCTCATTTTACCAACCTCAGAAGAATGGAAGACTGAGTCAACCTTGAGCCGGTGAGAGTCCAACTGCTAAAATGCTGGCACTCGTCAGTCAGAATTAGCCTGCAATACTGCATTCTAACCATGGCTCTTCAGAAATACATATACTGAAATATTTTAATGAAACAAAACTGCTAATTTGGATTAGAAAAATTTCTATAACAGATATATTTCTTAGCGAAGGGAATATAAAATTTTGTTTTTATGGCTGCAATCCTGCTGTCAAACTCCTGGTCCACAGGCTGGGGCATCACGCGCTGGCCATGCCCACGCCCAGCTTAGCAAAGGGGAAAAAAGTCCCAATACGTCACGTGATGCCACCGTGACAATGTGAGTTTGACAACTGCACTACATTTACTGGAAAAACAGGAATGCAAAATACTATTAAGTGGAAACAAGTAATGAAGTCAATGAGACCAAAAAGAACTATTTCACTGATTTATTTGGGAGAATACGCTATCTCATTTTGCAGTTATTAAAGATTGATTCATATAATTTAAGAATATGTATACCATTGATTAGGTTTGCTACCTAGAATTGCAATTGGAATATGGGTAGCTATCTGAATTGATCTAATGAACAAACGTCACTGATTTTCATTCATTGAAAAGAGTATTTTTCAAACCTTGGATGCAATTGAAAGAAGTGATATGTATGCACAGGGAAGAAATGGGTGCACATAGTAGCTTTGACAAAGATCATCTTCTCTCCTTAAGCAATTCCTCAAATTTGGGTATTCTTCAGATATGTTGTACCACAACTCCTATTCCCATCAATAATTTCATGTATTGGTAAAAGACAGCAGTGTAGCTTAACTGATATGGTAGGCATCAAGTTTTGGGACACTGTGGGAGCAGCTGCTAAGGCATTACCCAAGCTCCAATTCTAGTATTGTTCTTCTGTAGATTTCTGTACCGTCATCACTTCTTTGAGTTATATCCAGTCTAGCAAAATTACATGCAAGAATTAAGTAGCTCATACCCTCCTCTGAGGTGATGCTGATCATGTTTTACTATCTTATATGGCAGCATTCTTTCTCCCAAGTTTTCCAAATTCCTCACCACTGCTCCTCTTTCCAGCAAAGCTTCCACTGTGCGCCTCAGTGTTGCAGCTGTCTCCGGCTTTAAACAGAAAGAAAAACATACATTTATGTTGTAGTCAATGATCATTTATCTTACTTTATTTACTGAAACAGAATTGGGAGGGGGGATGGGGTGTGTGTGTGTGAAAAAATAATAAAAACAGAGAAAATGCAGTGTGTGTGTGTGTGTGTGTGTACATGACATTTTTCATAAAATGGTTTCAATAGAACTTATCCATATTATATTGTAATAGTTCATGTATAATTGACATTCAATTGACTCACTCATTCAAAAGTCTTCTTCTTCTTGTGCCATATCTGTCATCGGATACTGGCGAGCATATTGGTGATCCTATTTTTTTCAACAGCCACACAAAAGGCACAAGTAACAAATCTTCAATTTAATGGATAATTGGGGCCATAAATTTGTCTTCCCAATGTTGAAGAACTAATATCTTGGCAATAATTAGGGTAAAAAGAGCTTACTCACATTATTCAACTGTCAATGTCCATGTAGAACAGGGGTGTCAAACTTGTCTCGTCACGGCAGTGTCACGTGACGTATCGCAACCTTTCCCCCCTTCGCTAAACTGGGTGTGGCCAGCACATGACGCATCCAGCCTACAGGCTGCAAGTTTGACAGCCCTAATGTAGAAGGTAGGTATTTCAAAATAATGTGTACAAAGTCAATGGCAATTACTTTTAACTGGCCGAACTAAAAAAAAGGGGGAGAAAAGACAGACAATAAAGCAAGGGGAAGTCTCAAAAGTTTGATTATCCATTTGCAAGAATGTACACAAGTCTCTTATCCATTTGCAAGAATGTATACATATTATACACATATTAATAGCGGCTTTACAAGGGGTTTTTCAAAAAAAAAAAGTTTTTGCAATTTAATGGGATTTTAGAAAACATGTGAATGTAGACTGCATTCCTAAGTCTAACATTTCATATTCACAAGTGTAACACTCCATAGGACAAAAACCTGAAAACAACTTCTTCTTAGGTCCACTTTAGTATAAGAAAATTCAGTTAAGAGAGGAATTCGATATTTTAGATCATGAAGAGGAATTGTCTTGAGCTGCACATAAAATATATATAACATTAAGCACATAATAATATTAAAGGTTATTATTTTGTGAGGCTGCATTAGCTATCCAGGGCAGCATGTGGTTCATGCCTATTTTATAATCTGATGTGAAAAGAGGAAACAGATATTTAAATAATACTCTACAGAAACAAGGTTATATTTTATCATACACGTAATGTTATTGTCTATAGCATCTCCATTCAAGTTCAAATAGGTAGGTGTTTCTTTAAGCTTTTAAACTGAAACATTTAACAGAATCTTGCTGTGTCAGACCAAAGATGATCTAGTATAAGACTGAGATGTTCCAAGATAGCAACAGCAATCTGCTCCTCTGTATTTCCACCATATCTATTGCTCTCTTTGAACCAGGAATTACTTGTTACTTGTAGCTTAATCACTACTTCGGGTTCCAATTTTACCCATCTTCCAAAATAATGCAAGCTAGACACTATCACATCTTCAATCTACCAACTAAATGAGTCTTGCCCCATTTTACAACTTTTCTTGCCACAGTTGTTGAGTGAATCACTGCAGTTAAGTTGGGGGTGCTGTAACGGTCATAAGTGTGAAAAATGGACATAAGTCACATTTTTCGGTGCCGTTTAACTTCAGTCACTAAACATGGTGGTTGTACGTTAAGGAGTACCTGTATTTATAATAAAGTATCTAAATATTTTCTTTCCTTTTTTTTAAAGGTACAACTTACTGCAGCTGTAAATTTCACCCATCTTTCTCCAGCTCTACAATATCCTTTCTGGATAAACCAGCCAGGACTGTAAACAATATCTGAGTACTACTGAGAAATATTCAGTACTCCCGTTTCAACTCCTTTGTGACCCATAAGGAATTTGCCCTTTTCCTAACTGTTGCACTTGAGTTGTAATTTTCATTGAACTATCCAACATGATCAAGTCATTTCATAATTAGTCCAATGCTAGTTTAATACCCACCAGTGTTTATGTACTATCAGAATAAGCAAGCTATGACCCCATAGTTCCCATTTCTGTGAGAATTAGGAACCATTCTAATTGGGAAAAAACACAATTAGAATCAGCAGATTGGTTGCCCACCATTTAGAAAAATGAGTAGGAATGTTGTGCTATTCTTATATACTGTCCTTAATCTCTCAAAAACTTGTAATAGCATGGACCACAGTATCTCTTTAGGATGGGTCAGCAAGTTGACAACTAAAGACAATGTGCTGCAGTGTTTGTATTCCTGCCTGCAGAACCATACTCAGAAAAGGACTGGAGAACCTCTGTTCAATATCATGGCAAACGTGCAGGGAATTCAATTTGATCTGATCTGCCATGGCGCCGAAGCCTATATGAAGCCATTGGGAAAGGCTGTACAGAAATTTGAATGAGATGTACAAATGCCTCCCGGGCAAATGAATATAAGAATGCTTGTGGGATGTGAAAGGCCAGGTGAGGCCAACTGCCTGAAGATGAATCACAGAAAGATAATCAGTAGCCTGGAAGTTCATCATCTTCTTTTCAGAAACTGTCCTTAAGCCACTACTACATGGGGGGACACTTGCCCTATAGAAACAAGTACAGGATATATGGCTACTCTTGGATTCCAAATAATCACTGAAAGTACCTCAGTAAGGAAAACCTATGCGCAGCTTCAGATAGTGAGTCCAATTTAGCAATTAGGGATGAAAATAGTCTATCCTATTTAAAAAGCTAACCTCGATTCCAGAGATTAGAATATCATTTTTCTTATCACTGGAATAGCTTTTGACCCACCCAGAGCAGGCTGGTCTCAGTAACTCCTCCAATTCTATTATCTATGATAATAAGGCATAGTGTTTTCCATGTGTTTCCACCTCCAACTGTTATTAGAAAAACAGTTTATTTGCTTTAACTATTCACAATAAAACATATGTAGAAAATACTATGCATACATTTTGATGTGAAATACATTTAAAAAGATTCAATAACCAAGTTGAAGAGTCCAAACTAATTTAGTAAGAAGCGACCAATCTTTTTAAGGGTGAAATATGCATGTTTTTAGATTTTGCTAATTCTCAGCAGCCCAAACCACTAGTGGGGTTTCAAAGTGGTTTGCCACGTTTGGTGGGTGTGGTTGGGTAGGCGCACTTTGCACACACATTTTGCACACATGCACCAAACACATGCTTTGTGCATGTGCAGAGGCTTTCCTATTCACCTTCTGCAAGCTCCGTGTCTTCAACAGCTGGCACGCAGCAATCTGCTATGCCACAGAAAGCAGCTGTGCTTCAAAAACAGGAAATAAAGCTCAATATGAGAGCCCAGGAGGGCCCAACAGCAGATCATCTGAAAGAACTAGTTTGGTCTCAGCTGATCTTGGGAGCTACCAGCTTGGCAGAACCGGGCTGAACCAATAGCATCCCACCTCTGGCCCAAACCAACATGGTCCTACCAGGCAAATACTGGAAGTGGCCCACTGGTTTCTGGCCTCTTCTCTAAGTCAATTAGAGAATTTATTTTCCATATTTGGATTTGCCCCAATTGTGTTTCTCACTTGGTCTAGAAATTCTACATGTTTTTTTTAAGATATTCTCTTTTAAGGTAGCCAGATCTCCTAAATATTGATTTGAATGAAGTTAGTTATATGTAGCAATCATATGTTTCAATTTAAACTAAATTTAATGCATCACATAATGGTCTTTGATTCAAACTGAATAAAAAGTATCAGTCTGAAATAATGTATGTCTTTCCATTGTCTAAATTGGAATATCATAAATTGTTCACATAATCTCTTAACAAAATTGAATAAAAATGCCAGACACAGCAGACTCTCAAGAATATTCACCTACTAAGTTTATTTCATAAACTTCTAAGATTAAGATCATTTCAGAAATACTTGTATTTTTGTACTTTTTATTTAAACTTTGTACAGAAGTTTTAAACATTTCTACACAGTAACTTGGACAGGACAAAATTCTATATTCAAAAAATGTAAACTGCAAGAAATACAGTTTTAATTATACAAATACTCTAATAAGAGTTTCATGTTGAAGACTAATTCAGGAGGCAAAAATACAGATACAGTATACAACAAGCAATATACATACAGTGAGAAGAGTTCTCCAAAACAGGTTTTTTTCCATATCATATTGAGTGTGTTATATAAACTATTCATTCTGTGACAAACTGTGGTAAAGATCGTAGCAAAATTCCATCAAGAAATATTCATTTCGTTAACATTTCTAGATCTATATTCCTACTGTAATAATTCTACTTCATTGAATAATGTGTCCTTTATCAACATATCATGGGACATTTAAGATTTTTTATTTAAGACATCTAGAAGAAATTTTATACATATTTATGCCTAGTTGGTCCATTTTCCCCTAAAGTTTAAAGACTTGACATGTTACACATTACCATTTTAATCTTTTGCTCTGTGAAATCTTTTAAAAAACTATTGATTTATAATTTACACACATTATAGGAAATACAACAGCAACAAAACAAGATATCGAACATATTTTTTAAAGTATACTTATATATCCAAAGGGAAAGAAAAATTAGCATCACACTGACACTGTATTTAAAACTTAAAAGGATGAAGAAAAAGGTATTTACTTAATAAAAGAATTTGCTTTCTTCTTGAAGAAGATTACTAGTTTTGGAGGGTTTTTTTTTGCACAGCAAGTATTTTTATATCCACCTCATTTAAAAGCATGCGTTCATAAATACTTATATTGTCATATGTCATTGCCATCATTGCTCAGTACCTGACTTTTCCCATGAAGAATCTTACAGAAAAGCAGGGTCATTAGAGTGCTATGGAACATTTTACACAAAATCAGACCAAAAATGAAGTATTTTTTGAAAAACAAAATATTCCCAGAAATGGTTATGCAGGGTGTGTGGGTGGTTGTATATGTGTACCTATGAGTGTGCTATTTTGTAAAGGGTTAAAAAAAACTCAGTGAAACTCTTCATTATATGTGC